TCCCTACAGAACTGTTCAGTTAAATTTTACAGCTGAAAGCCAGTTTGAAAATGTTCTGTCTTTCAATGTTAATTGGCAGGCACTGAAGAGGGCACATAGTGGTATATCTTTGTCTGAACTTGAGGCTTCTGTGGCATCACCTTTCACTTCCAGGACACCCAGTATTTCCTGTGTGCCAAAGCTGATCAGGTAATGCCACTTACTGTGAACTTAGATGCATCTGTGTGACTTGTGGTGCATACCTTGTATCAGTATATGCTTGATGCTGTAGGAGGCCAGCTTGGACTAAAGAAGAAGCCATAAATTTTTAGTAGCTCTGTTTCTTTACTCTGCACAAAGGCTTACCATAGCATGGTTTACTATTTTATGGAGAAACTTTTGTATGCGTAAAGTAAACTTTCTAGAATGTGAACGAGCTTCTGCACATTAGTATTTAAATCTGTCTTAGGGACTATGCTAGTTTCCATAAAGGCTCTGTGTGTAATTGCAAGCAGTTAAATTCTTTAGATAACTGCTCTGCATTATACAAAGTAGTAAACAAATCTTCTAAATAGTTGGACCTATTTTTGATTTTAGAATTGGAAGTTAGGTAATAATTTTGGATCAAGGTCAGACAGAGAAGAACCTAGTTAAGTCTGTGTGGAACTACTGAAGTCATGCATGATCAGAAATATTTTCTGGAGTCAGCCCCTCTGTGGCTGACTGTGTTTGTCCATTCTGTGTGGTAAACTAGTGCCTCATAGATGCTTTGGCAATCAGACCTTAATTTTAAAACCACTATTGGAAAACCACTTGAAGTCCAAAGAATGCTGAAGTGAGGCAGTGGCTCAGTTCAGGGGGCACGCTCACAACTCTGTACTTGGAAATGTACCATTTTGACTCCTTTTGCTCTGTATATCTTCGGCCTAATGTCCCTCAAAAGGTTTGCATTTCATCACAGCTAACATTTTGCTAAGCAGAATTTAAACACTTGCACAGAAAGCTTTCTAGTTACGTGATGTATTTGTTTTGGCAGGGAAGGCCGTGCTGCTTTAATAACTTCCTTCTGTGTATTTAAGTTCATGGCATTATACAGCATTATCCAGTACATCAGTGTTACCCTGCTGTATTCTGTAAGTATTCTGTAAGTGCTTAAGCAGCATCAATTCAATTCAGAGATTGGAAAATTGATAGGTATTTAATATAAATTGTTGCAAGTCTCTGAGTACAAAACACCAACATTCTAAAAACTGTATTTGGGCTAAAAGTATTGTTAGTATTTTGTGCTTTTTTTGTATGAACTGTATGAAAAACATAGTAGTACCTACTTGAGGCAATAGCTAGTGCCTGTGAATAGAAAGTCTTTGCAGTGGGGAGTCCAAATAAGCAGCTAAATTTAACAGAAATAGCAATTTTCAGTTATTTAAAAACTATCAGCGTTTTAAAATAGCCCAATTTTTTTTAAAGGGTAATACATTCCTTTTACACAGGAATTGAAAGAGAGCAGCTTGCAAGTATTAAGGGGGGGGAGGCAAGGTAGAGTATTTCCTATGAATATGATTGGATTCATAAATGTGGCATGTATAAAAATCCTATGTTTTAATTTGTATTCTGAGTAAGAGAAACATGCGAAGTATTAAAGTACTTTTGAGATGGAAATTTTGACAACTGTTTGACTACATAGTAAGGTTATGATGTTTCAAGAACTGTGGGCCTAAGCTATAATTTCATCAGTTTATAAGATGCAGTAATATAAGTTTGGCTACAAACTTAAATTACAGATAGCTTGTACCTCTTGAAACTGAAACTGTTTCATGCTTTGATACTTCAGGACTCGATCTGTGAATTGTAGAGTGCTCAAGACTGCAGATAAAGTTTGGCAAGACTGTCTTGTTTATAGAGTGAAATCTAAGGAATTAGTGCTGTAGAAGTGTCACTGTAAGATGCTGCTGTGAAGAAATTACCAATGTTGCAGTTGTGATTTCTGTCTAGATCCTGAGCAATCTGGGAGATTTCCAGTTTCTCTTCATTGATTTGGCAATCATTTTGGTGGTTGTCTTCACTAGTAAGTATTGTGCTGCATTACTGCTGCTAGCTTCTAGGAAGCGGTTTTGCTTGGTGAGATTTTCTTTAGTATCTAAAAATGTTATTTAGATTAAGCACTGTGAAATACAGTTAAGATGTTAGGACTGCTGCAGTATATGCATTAAAAAAAAAAACACAAACCACTGTGTACTGAGTTCCATTCATCTGATTTTTCTGAAACGTCTTCATACAAAAAGCAGGTTGTAGGCATGATCTGAGAAAAGTAGTTTTCCACGGTACAGGAAAACATAAATCTCTACTGAAATGAGGAAACTGGTTTTGGAATCAAGGCAGGAGTTGTTCCAATGTCATCTTTTTCAAATGTTCTGATATCTTGCATTTTTAGTTCAACTTCTGTCCATGGAATGTTATACTCAAACTAGTATCTAGTGGAGTATTTGATTCCATGTATGAAATTAGCACACAGTTTAGTGGCTAACAGTAGAGTTCCATTTTCAAGTTTAATAGAAACTGCTTCTTGGAAGCAATGGCAGAGCAAAGCTCAGGAGATGAGCTTCAAGTCCTTGTGTTGAACAAAGGGAATCTGGCCAGACACCAGTAATTCCTTAAGCCTTGTGGCTTCTATTATTGTCCCCTGCTATCCTGTGCTGCTGGGGGTAACCTGCCTCTAGAAGGCACTGTGGAGTTATTCTAGCGTTACACTCTTTTCAAGGTGGTTTCAGACTTGGAAATTCTGAACTAACTTTGAAAGTGATGTCATGAGCAAGCCATTCTAATTCCACAGAATGTGAACAGTGTGGCTCTTGAAAACCATAATGATGTAATGTGTAATCTTTTTTTGTTTCTCTCTGCAGTGAGTCTGAACCCTGCTTGGAAGGAGCTTGTTGCCCGAAGCCCTCCATCAGGTCTTATCTCAGGTCCACTTCTGTGTTCCGTTTTGTCTCAGATCATCATCTGCCTTGCTTTCCAAATCTTTGGGTTTTTTTGGGTCAGACAGCAGTCCTGGTATGAGCCTTGGACAACGGAATCTGAGTAAGTGTTTCAGTGGTTCAGTGCAGGACACAGGAATGACTGGAAACCTAAAGCAATACGTGCTCTCTTCTTTACAGATCCCCTTTGTCAACTTCTTAAATAAAGTTTCTGTATGGCAGCCTGTTAGTCTGCTGAGTTTCTTGTGAAAAGCATAGTGATATATGTGAGTTACCCAACAGCTGAAATGCAGAAGTGGGGCAGAGCCAGACTGCAGGGCCTGAAGATTCCTTAACTTTGGGACAGTAGAGACCAAAATTTGAAGTTAATGGTTCAGACCTGTCTTATCTCTTTTAAATGATAAAATTTTGTTTTCTTGTTAGAGTTCCAGTAACTCAAATTCATATAGATTAAAATGAAGTGTTTAGATCTTTTTTAGATTGCAGTATTTTCTTACCTATCTTCAAAGTGCATCTACAGGGATAGCTTCTAGAGAGTTCATACTGTGAACTTACAAGCTGAAGGCATAAAGGAACTTGAAGCTCAGTATTCACAAAAATTGCTACCTCCCTGTTGCATTTCTGAGTTATTTGTTATTTCCTGTAATAAGTTTTCAAGGATAAGCTTTTATTAGTGTAGCAATTTGTTCTGTCATTACTTCTGTTAATTACTAGGCCTTGTTTGCATCTTCTCTTGAACTCTCTGTTAAATGTCAGGGGTTTTATTTTCTTTTTTGTAGTGCTTGTAATGTATCGGATGCCACAAACACCAGCTCTGCACTCCATGGAAATGAGACTCTTGAAGATGAACATTACATTCAAAATTACGAAAACACAACTTTGTTTTTTATATCCAGCTTTCAGTACCTCATAGTCGCAATTGTCTTTTCTAAAGGAAAGCCCTTTAGACAACCATCCTACAAAAACTGTAAGTCTTTTCTTACTATGTACAATTCCAAGAGAACTGAGTGACTGTTCACTTGTTTATCCATGGCTGACTTACAGTTCTGTTGTGCCACTTCAGCAGTAATAGTGTTGTTAGGAGAACATCATACAATTGTCTTCTGATAATCAGAGACAGAAATAAGGAAGTATTAAACTGTATGGAGAAATTTGTGTTAGTAGTTGCTTTGTCTGTAGAAGTACATATGTGTATACGTTCACAAGTGAGGCAGTGAGAAATAGTCTGGCCCTTCTGACTCTTTATGGCTATAGGTACAACTTGTATTGCCAAACTCCACCTGGAAGTGGTTTAGAGGGAGAAAAGAGTTATTTCCAGGGAGTAATGAACCCATGATATATGGAAAAACTGTCTAAAACTGATTGTGAGAAGATGTCCAATTAAATGTTATTTTTCTTCTTTTACAGTTCTTTTTGTTATATCTGTGATAGTTCTTTATGTCTTCACATTATTCATCTTGTTGCACCCTGTTGAATCTATTGACACATTTCTGGAGGTAAGATTCATCAGATATGCAGCTATCTGCCTAGGATAACAGGTAGGCTTCCTTCTGGGCAAGCCTGACCCCTTTTAGTGCTTCAGTGTAACACCTCTGGAGGGGGGAAGGGAGTTTAGAACTCTGAGCCTGCTTTGAATGTTTTTTTCCTTCATAGGTGTGTTGCTAACCTCTGGCAACTTTTTCTCACAGCTGGTGTGTGTTCCATATGAATGGCGCCTAAGAATTCTCCTAATTGTTATTCTCAATGCCATTGTATCTGTGCTGACAGAGGTAAGGAATCCAAATGGAAACCATGCTTGTCTGTTAAGTGTGAGGTTTGGTGTATGTTTTTTTGGGGAGGGATTTGGTTTGGTTTTTATTGTGGTGTTTTTTCTGGATTACATGTTTGACTCTTCACGTCATGCCAGTGTAAGTGGCCACTGTTGCCTTGTTAAGTTTGTATTTGTAAAAATGTCCTTTTAGGCTATATTTTAGTTGGCATCATTTTCTGTGTCAAAAAAGTAATTTTAAAACCTTTTTTATTAATAAAAAGATGAGGGAAGGTTGAAAGATCTATAAATCAGCTGTTTCATAGGACAATACTCTTCATGCTTACTTGCTGTATGAATTCAAAATAACACAACATAGTGAGGAACTGTGTAATATCCTTAGCAGAGACCATCTTCATTAAGTTGGATCAGATGCATAGCTCACTGTTCCAAACAATGCAGGTGTATAACTTGTTCATCTAATCTGATCTATGTCCAGAAGCAAAGATGTTCAAGAAAGTGCTTTTTGTGTTGTTTCCATGGATCAAAGTTTGACAGATGTATCTTCCAGAAGGTGTCTGGATTCAAAGCCAGTAATTTATCCCTGTGGTTAGGTCTTCTCCCTGTTAAATTGGTGCCTTATGTCCAACCTGAATACAGTTGGGTTTTGGTTGCAACCATTAGTAACTTTTTTTTTTTCTGCAAGGTGAAAAAGCCTTTCAATATTAATTAGTGCTTGTACGCTACTTTGATCTGGTTTTACTGTATAACATTTTTTGCAGCTTCTAGTCAGTATTTCCATTACTATGTGAGGGATTGCCATCAAGGTAACCAGCCTAATGTTTGCTTGCATTTTGATCTTTGAAGATTACTATAGCATTAGTATTCTTTCCAGGTGACTATTTTTTTTTTTTTTTCCCTTTTATTTTTGACTTAGTAAGAATAAAATCAACCAAAACTTTTTTTAGATACTTCAGTCAAAATTGTCAAGGCTTTGTGTTCAAATTGTTATTCCAAATGGAATTAGCAATACATGGTACTATGTTGCTGCCTATTGGAACTTGGGTTTCAGTGTTTTCATGATAGGTGATAGCTTGTCTCTTCTGAAACATGGCAGTAGATACTAATTTTTTGGCCTTTGCCTTTTTGTTAAAAAGTTTATCCCCTCCTAAAGATTCTGTGCCGTGTGTATTTACTCTAACCTTGCATGTGATGTTTTCCTTTATGCCCTTTAATTATCTTTTTTTGCTACTAAACGCTTAATAGTTTTGTCTCCTTTTTAAAAAATTTAAACTTTATATATATTGCTGTCTCTGCTACTTAAGCAAATTCTGAAGCTGCAGAATCGTGGCTTTTCTGTCTTGCTATACAACAGTGTCCAACAGAAGCTTCTGTGTCCAACCAAAGCAGTGTCTAGTGATCCTCAAATCCCAAACCTCTTTTACAGAACACATTTCACCTTCCGTAACTTGAACCTGCTTTTGTTCCACCTTTTGAACTGTACTTTTCTAATTCCAACAATATTACTCTGGGATCCCTGAAGCTTTTCCATGTGGTGCCAACTCATTGGGTCCAATGTGTTGTGTAGCAATTGGAGGCTATTTCATTCCTTCACTTCCAGTATAGCTGTTTGCCTTCCTGTCCTTGTGTGTCTGACTGGAATTTTTGCTCAGTACACTTTTCACTACAGAGTTATTTGGTAGCACAGCTCATAATCTGAGTATACAGGAAAAGCTGCTGGTGACAACTCCTTGTTTCTTTTAACAAGGTATTCTCTGCATATCACCTAGAGTTCTGCTGAGTCTAATCCCTCAGTAGTTGCCTCTTGAAATGTCTTGTAATGATGAGATACATGAGGGATTTTGAATCTGTCTTCTTTTGTCACACCTGTTTGACACTTTTGTGGCACACTACCATCCTACATAATTTGTTCCTTGCTTCTGCAGAAGGAATTGTTTCTGACTGTGCTTGTCCCAAACAAGTTTTCTGAAGTTCTGTGTAAAGCTTTTGCTCCTTCCATGTGGGTGCCAGACTAGGTTCATAAACACACGTATTCTTTCTGCCGGATGATAGAAAATGTTTCACAACAAAGGCAGATCCTGGCAGATGTTCCTCCTTACCCCTGATTCCCAGTATAGACATACTTAAACTAGCTTCAAAAATGAACATCTAACAAGCTGAAGATTTGTTGGCAAAAGCTTTATAAAAGCACTATAAAATTACGGTACATTATAAATCATAAGCATTATAAAATCTATTATAAAAGGCTGGCTATTCAGCTGCCCTTTCTCAATGGCAGAGGTTAGTCAGAGGTTAGAAATGGAGTCTATCCAAAGATCAGAGCTGTAGGCTCAAGGCCATGGAAGATACAGGTTCACACCTCTGTTGCTGGATTTGTTCAAGGCTCTCGAGTCCACCCACACAGTCATATGAAAATAACCAGATGTACTGAACATACTGTTCAATTTCTGCCCTCTTTCCCAAAATCTGAAATGGCTCTTGCAGAGTTCCTTCAGGCTTCCTGCTGGTGGCTCAGCTTTTCTACTTCACTGAAGCTTTTCTGGGAGTGTCACCAGTTTAAAATAAACTATGAACAAAGAATAGCTTCAGCATGAAGCACACTAATGTTAAAGATGGTTTGAGGGGAAACTGCTTTAAACACTTGTCTTTGGTGTTTCACAGGGTTTTTAGAGTATTGGAACACATCGAGAATATGTATTTATGATTTTTACCTGCATTGATGGATGCAGTTTTGGCTGTTGTTGCTGTTGATTCGAAGTATGTTTGTGTCTTTAAATCTCATGTGAGCACTTCAGGAATGAAAATGTTTATCACTTAAGTACTGACAAGTAACATAAACTGTATTTTGCCTGGCACTGGATTAGTTATGCCTAACATGCTATTTCGGGTTTTATTTGTAATAAGCACTAACAACAAGTGATCATTAGTTTCTTTAATTCTTCCCACTCACTGCAATGTTTCACAGAATGTCCTCCTTGACATGATCCTTGGGAAGGTTGTGTTCAGTCGAGACAGACAAGGAGAATACCGCCTGACCGTGCCCCAGCCGCCTCAGGTTGGAGACGAGCGTTTTACTGTCATGATTTGACTGCATGCAGATGAATCCGTTTGGTCTCTTTTGTCTTCTTTGTCTTAAGACTGCATAAATTAAATTTATATAACTAGAACACTCTAGGCTTCTGGATTTTATTTTTCTCCTTGTTGATGCTTAAAGAATTCAGCTCTGTACACAAGAAGTGGAGGATTGTTTTGAGGAGTTTTCTTGCTTTATCTTCACTGTGCACATAACATTTGCTAATTTTTCTTGTCACAAGTTAGCATGCTAGGACTGGGAATGTCTTGATTTGATTGGAAGCAGAATTGCTGATGCTGGGTCTAAGCCAGGTCTTTATTTTTGGTTTAGAGTTTTAGATCATTGTTGGAGAGCAGTAACTTATAGCACGTACAAATGAAACAACCCAAAATCTCAAATGAAAGTACCTTAGCATTACTTCAGGTGGTTTAAGAGACTGAATGATTTAGCTATTGTTTTTCAGGTGGCCAGGAAATGTGGTTTATTCTGCCCCTCTCACTAATACGTGAAGGAATTGTGTAGGAGTCCCATAAAGACTGGCTATTTCTTTAAGCCTGCTGGCTTATTACTTTTAGCTGGTTGTATGTTTCTTCTTGCTAGAATTACAATGGTTTATTTCTAAGCACTAAATTTTATTCATTTTATTCACTTCAGATATACATTTGTCCTTATGAGGCTGCTCAAGAGCAAATTGCATTTTGTTCACTGTAGAATAGAAGTTATGCTTAAGGCTCATGTTTGGCTCAGTTCACCAATTGGTAGAAATTCAGAGCATGAAGAAAATCATACAATCTGTCTCAATTAAAATGTGAGGCTTTGGCAGACTTTTAAGTGCTCTCTGAGTCCTGAGAGGGATCCAGTCTTGAGAATAAGGAATAGTGTTTCTTTTCTCCAGCTAGTTAAGCTGTATGTGTTTAGGCCTAGGACAGGAAAAATAGGAAGGAAAACTTAAAACAGACACGAATTATTCAACTTAAGAACTGTTAGTACCTGTAGGACTTAAGTTTCACAGTATCAGCAAGTTTAATTCTGCCACGTTTGGCTGTCTGCCTTCAGTTATACAATTAATTGCTTAAAAAGTGTTTTGAGGCTGAGAATTTGACTCCTTTTTCTAGACCGGACTTTTGTTTTTCAATAGTAATATCATTTAATGGGGCCTGTTGTACCCGTGTTTATTGACAGTATTACAAAACAGGCATAAAAGCTGTTGGTGACCTTAGATGATAACGATAATGCAGAATACTTGGGTTTTAAACTTCAGTGCTACCATAGCATAGAACAGATGACACAGCAGAAGTCTTTGTATTACACTTTCTAGGTCCAATGTGACAAGGCAATAGTAAATGAGAAGCTTAAGTATTTTTTTTCTTCTGTTGATTTCCTGTACTGTTAGTTATATTAATTTTTTTTCTTATGGTAATCCAACTTTTATATCTGTTCAATTCTGCAGGAGGCTGTGGATTGCTGTGGAGTCTGTTTCCTTTCGTCCCTGTTTGGTTGTAGAGAAAAGACACCAAAAGCCAAGTATATGCATCTAGCTCAGGAACTGCTGATTGATCCAGAATGGCCACCAAAACCCAGAACGACGACAGAAGCAAAAGTACCATCCCAAGAGAATGGCTCATATCAAATCATCACTGTAACGTAACAGCGGATCTCTGTAGCATGTGTCTTCAATAGTACCCAGAATGTAATTTTAAGACTTTATTTGAAAGTGCAGTATACTAAATGTCAAATTCTAATGCAGATATTTCCACCCGGTTTTGTTTCTCTGAATACAAAGTTCAGAGACAGACATCTTACAGCTATACATTTTTAAAAATATAGGTTACCTTAGGCAGAACAAAAATGATTGTGTTTCCTTCCACCTTCTTTCAAATTTCATAATTACTAAATGAGATGTATTTGAAAGTTTAAACTGCAGGGCAGTTAAAAGAGGTTCATTTTATTTGGCTGGAGTATGTTAATCATGGTTCTAACCTGCTTACCTTGGCATGTGTTCATGTAAACCCTTGTAAAGGTTTCATGGTAGTACTAGGGGCACATATAACCTTGTCATGCTGCCTTTTTTTTTTTTTAATATATTCACTGTTGAAAAGCTTTGTGCTTTAGAACGATTCTAAAGTTTCGGTGTGTGTACCTCTAAGTGTGTCCTTACTAGTAAGGAGTGTTTCCAGGTGTAATGTTTGGGGTTTAAGTTTAATTCTTTAGTCTGCCACAGCAGGAATTGGGAATG